CATAATGTATCTATTGCATAACCACGTGGCATGGATACCGACCCAACGTCCGTTTTCATCCTCGTATGCATTTGCATGCCCAATTGTTACTTTTTCCATGTTAAAATATATATATATATATACACACACACGATACACAAGTTACCCAGGAAACATTTTACAAGTTAAAAAAAAAAGGGTGCAAAGGCTTCGCCTCGTGCCGCCGTAGGCAGTAGCCAAGTTATTGCTCGAAACCCAGAATATTGAGATCGATTTCTCCTTTCCGTGCTTTGACGTAAATCGAATTCCGATATTCGAGACTGCTTTTCTTGCATAGATATATATATCGAAAAACGGTAAAGCTTTAACGTTGTCCCGGTGCCCCCTACGAGTGCAAGGAACTTGACACGAGTACCTATCACTGGCACAGATGGGTATTATATTCGTAAAAAAGAAATAATTCGTGGGTGGTTAGCTATGACGTCATGTCATACGTATTAAAAATATATATCGACATAACCCAAGTACAGATAAGTCTGTGCGTGTGTTTCGTATACATATATATATATATATATATATGCACGTAGCCAAGTGAATTCCATTTATCGAGCAATTGAAAATTTACGGTCTAGTATATTATTTTTTTTAACCTCCTAACAGACAACGAGAATTTACGATGAACTTTCTACGTTCTTGACTTTTTCTTCTCTCTCTCTCTCTACTCTTTGTGTTTCCCTTTCTTTCGTCCTTGTTCCTCCGAGGCATTTAGAACGATCCGCTACGGCGCGAGGGGAGAATCTTGTACTTTTTACATTTTAAGGAATCCGGCCAATCAGTCTAAAAGTTCAGGATCCCTTTAAGCCCTGAATACCCGTAATCCATGAGACAGTCCTCGATACTCCGTGTACTGGTACAGGTACGTATTCGATAACTGTAAATGGACAGCCCGGTTCTTTGTATATTTGTAGCCGAGTAAGTAATTAAATTTTCTTGTTTTATAAAATGAAAAAAAAAACATTTAAAGTAGTTTTTGAAGATAATCAAGCAAAAAAAGGAGGATAATTTTTTTTCTATGTACACGTGTACTCTTCGGTGGATGAAATTCCAAATTGGATAAAGCGTGAAAGAGACGTGTTGAAAAATTTCGAATGCAGACTTAAATTTGAAATCGCACCGATTCGTCTATAGGGGCGATTGGTATTTAAAAATTTTTAAAAAATTTTTAACTCGTCTTCATCATTACTTTTTTTTTCTGTGTACGATTATTAATATACAACGCATGACCCGAAGGTGGCTTTTCAATAGGCGTATATATCAATGGCTAACGTTTGATGAACAGCTGGTACATTTGCCGTGAATAACCCCGTTATAGTAGCTGCAATATTAATTTAGGGAAGTGAAACGTAGGTCGATGTATTATCAACCATTGGGACTGTGGAGTCAATATAGAGGGGAACATTTATAAATCCACTATCGAAGTTAGCCTTTACAAAATTTTATGGCGGAGGGTCGAAAGGTTTCTGGTGGAAAAACCTTCATGCTCGACTATAGGGGTGTTATTGATCTCAAGGCTTAAATATCAAGTCGCGTGCTATATGCAAGTCTATACCATGGAATTAATCTTGCGTCAGAGACATAATGACCCGGAAGTGATAGAAAAATAAGGGTTTCGAATGTTGACAAGGGACTCGAAAAAAAAAAAAAAAAAACGTTTATACTGAAATGTCAAAAAAAAAATTAGTAGACCGATGACGTTTTATAGGATTAAAAATCAATGTCTGACTTTTTTAAAAGCACCGGCCCCGATTCTACTTTAGGTTATAAACTTTTAACAAGCAGAGGTGCCCATCCGAGGCACGTTCATTTTCTTGAATTCTTAAAATTTTGTGTTTTCATAAAACTGCAAATAGCAGTCTCGTCGTTACAAACCATATAACAGAGATAGCATACTCGTTAAAGAAAGTCTATATCCGTCAAAACTGTACGACGTCGCCGGCAACGCGTCAGCCTGTTACGAGACTTCGATGGGTGGTGGTTAAAAGTTAAAAGTGGCAAAGTGAATTGACTTGGGAAACAATAAAGATTCATTATACCGTTTAACGGGTTTGCGCGTAAGAACTTTCGATACAAAAATAAGGAAATAGCTAAGCTTCTCCATGCATTGGAGAAGAAGCCCTTTTATCGTTCCGTGTTGTATCATAGCAGTATAAAAAAAAAACGGCAACCCCGGATAGCGGCGAGAGAGAAAAATGAAATAAAGGCGTAAAAAGTGCCGAAGGAAATGATCAACCGCATTTCCACGAGGTATGAAAAAAAAAAAAAATATTCCAAAACCCCGTGAACGTTCCTCTTCTGGAAATTTCGCGAAACCCATGAGAAACTTTAGCCCGTCGACGCAAAAGCTTCGCCGTTAAGGCCGCTGCATGTGTTTTCTCAATACTTTTTACGTGACTCTCGCACGTTTCAGGATTTCTAAATTTCACCCCGAAAAACAAAAAACCGAAACGACGACGAACGTATCCCGAAGAAACGACTGTATGAATTTTCTCCGCGTAACCCGATCCCACGGATATAATTTAAATTTCCTTGTTTTTTTTTTCCCTTTCAGCTCTTTGTCCTACAACGCACTGACGACAACGTCAGTGATCTCGTCGATTTCCGTTTGACAGCAGCGTCGATCCCGCAATAATGCCATTCCGCGAAAACGGGAACAAATGAAAATTTTCCATTTACTCCATACGTAACAGCTGCAACGGGGGATTGATGTAAAACCGTGGGCAGGTACAGGCCAGACAGGTAGCTACTTCCATCGCAATTGATCGTAAAACGCAGTACAGGTCACGGGTCGAAAATGAATCATGATTGACGTGAAAAAAAAAAGAAAAAAAAGAAAAAAAGAATGACGCGGCCTCAGAGATCCTCCGCCATTGGGCGAATCCGCTCCGCGAATTACAGGCTCGTTATTAAAGATCGATTGAAAAACACAGGGACGCACGAGCGTCCAGTGTAAATTACCAGAAATCAACGGATCCTAAACCGGCTTTGCGAATCCGCAAAAGGTCGCAAAGGTCACGAGGATAAATTTCAGCAGCCATCATTCGTGCACTCATCTTCTAAAATATCCCATCTAAAGATCCCTTGAACTCACTTCCTCTCGAAATCGTGACTCTCCTGACGTGGCAGAATATTGGCGACGTCGAGTAGCTGGCGTTTACTTTCCTCGCGACGTCGGGCGTCGGCATCCGGAAGCACTAGAATCGTGGCGGCAGGTGCATCCAACGACAGGGAGGGTTGCTGGACAACGATGGTGGCCTGCGCGGACCTCTTGGTGCTTCCTCCGCTTCCGCCTTGACGAGAGAAAATCCAAAATTAGCGTCATCCCTCGAATAGGAGTATAAACGGAGCGCATTGCAAGAAGGCCCCCGTACGAGTGGCAGCTACGTGCGTCCCAGGGGCATTCTCGCAGCGCGCATTCGGAAGCACGAGTCAACGTCGTTTGCTTGGAACTGCCACAAGCGTTTCATCATCCGTTATCTGGTCTGGTCCAATTAAACGTTTTTCTTACTTTCCTATCTCCCGGGTACCTTCAGCTCCATCCCAGGGATCACGTAGCGGTCCGGGATCATGACAATCTTTTTACGAACGTCAGCCCACAACAAGCACGTGGCAAAGGTTCAAGCAAACTGACAGACTGACTCGCTAATAAAGCGTGTATATACCGTGTGTCGATTTGCAAGCACATTCCAATCCTCAATCAAGCCGAATGCACATCAAACGCCCAGCGAGCGAGTTAGCGAGGGAGCAAATCCGAAGGATCGAAAAGGCAAGATTCGCAAGTGGATTTTCTTTAAATTGGATTTTTCCCTTTTTCTCTCTCTCTCTCTCTCTCTCTTCGACCAACTCTTAGAGAGCGATACGAGAAATCGATACGCTACATCAAAAACACTGAATAGCATGGGAAGGAGGTGCTACGATTTATGTACGACCGCGAGTATAAGAGTTACTACGAAATGTCAGTGTAGCGAATAGACCCGACTGTTGAAGCATTTACGTATAACGGCGATATTGGATGTGCCTACTGATAAAAGGAGGAAGCAAAGAAGTAAATGGAAAAGTACGTTATAGTATTCGACCAAATAAATTTCCCTTTACGTTATCAAGCACGCCGCTAGTCATGCGTGTATTTATATCCGGAAAAATACGTCAAAGCTCAGCAACTTCTGCAGATCATCTCGGAGAGTACAAAGACCCCCCAAGGGACTTGGTAAATTCGCGAAAGCTTCCTTGTCCAAGAATCAGGCGTCCAAGGAAACTTTCATTCTCTCACCCAAGACTCGTACGCACGGCCAAAATAATTATTCCGAGTATTTATTAAAAAAAAAAAAAAAAAAAAAAAAAAAATTTTAAAAAAAAAAAATACATATATCCTTGAATTACATCTTATCGACAAGTATAGTCAAAGGTGTATAGTAAAATGTAATTTTCTTCAAAGATACTAACGGTAGTCACCACTTACGAACTACGAGGGTTGACTGCAGGCACGTAAAATCAAGAGACGAAGCACACACGAAAAAGAAAAAGGTATTCGCACTCCTGTGCTCAGGCCCGATAGCGTTTGAGCTTGAGCGCAGACAGACTCCTTTGGCGGATGCAAAAGAGCGAGCGCGCGAGACGATCGCGTGTCAAAGTGAAAGATAGGTGAAGCAAGGGTCACGCAAGAGGAAGTGAGACCGGTGAAAAGGTTACGGGGATTGGAGAAGGAAGTAAAGAATAAATAACGAAAGAGGTTAAGTAAGGCGAGAAAGAAAAGGCGTAATCCGAAAGACCCGAAGGGACCCGAAAGACTCCGAAATATCCGATAGACGGATAAAATGTAGGCCTTTCTCTTTTCTCTCTCTCTCGCTCCCTCTCTCGCGCATGGTGATGTCAAAAGAAGAGAAACAATAAAAACGTGGTGTCCGTGTAATAGGTGGACGCAACGAACGCGCAACGGAAAGCACAAAGCGAAAAAACTGGCACACGCATCGTATAGGAATTTATCTCTGTACTGTTTGGCAAAGAAAATAAATGTACTGTTCGCGCGTCACGAGAAGGACCCCGAGGAAGGCGTGCGAGAAATGTGCTATAGGTGATCGCGGACATTGGGTACACAATGAACAGTCTCTATAAAGGGGATCTTAACCTTGTCGGGGTCCTACCCGTGGCGGGCGGACTATACCTATTGCGCAAAACGGGAAAAAGAGCCTGATCCATGAATGAATGGCTGAAACGAGGGGATGAGATTCTGAAAGAAAGAACATCAATTTCATTTTTTTTTTTTTTTTTTTTTTTTTTTTTTTTTTTTTTTTT